TAGAAGAATCAGTAGACTCTTTTCCAAATAATGCTGAACAAAGTGATGCCCGAAATATGGATTCATGGAACATGAATACTAGGTCTTTTGCCCTGAATCTCCAGATGTAGGGAAAAAACTTGAGTACTTCGGAGAAAGAAGTAACTTGTCTTCAATTCACCCTTCTGTGTCCCTTCTCTGCATACCTACCCCCCAATCATCTCCCATCCTTTTAAGGTGCCCTTCAATTAGCCTGTATGGCTAATACTTTAGTGGGAACTTCTTTAAGATCTTACTTCCTCCAGGGATACTTGCAAAGAGAGAAAAGGTGGACTTTCAAACATAAGGTTCTGGCTCAGGAAAGATTTAACCAGGTAAAGGGAACGACCCAATCACATGAAATTAGGCACAAGAGATGGTTCCATTCCGTAGACCATCATCTTCTATTTGCATTCCTAGGTACTTTTGTTCCTTCATCTGTGGTATTTACATTGTCTTATATATTGTGCTGTACACTTATGAAAACATTTTCAGATAACTTGTTTTCTGACAGTAACGCTCATTATTCCCCTGTGAGGAAGGTAGCATCATCTTTATTGTAACAGACTTGAAAGTTGTTTTAGATGTTTTAGCTTCTGAAGTTGATAGTCTTTGCAGTCTGCTTACAGTATTCTTGCTCTTACTGGTGTTTCCTGATGACAGGGTTTGTTTTCTAATTTATTTTATTTGTGTGCATTTTTTGAATAGGTAATGCTATCTTAGATCTAGTGTCTGATAAATGAGTTTTTTATGATACCCACTCCCCTGAGAGTATTTTCTTTTCAATGGAGAATTTTTGGAATGCAGGGGTCCTTCAGTCTCTGAAGAGAACAGAGTCTTATGTTGGACTTCCCTCTGCTCCACTCTGCTCAGAATACCTTGGCATGAGTGACCCCACCAGTGTGGGCCAATTCAGGAAAAAAAAAAAAAATTTAAGAAGTTCTTTACTTTGTTGGAAATCAGCACAAGAGAAGGAGATTTTGCAGGTTTGGAACAAATGTCCTTGATTATTTAAAGAGTTCTGATGTGAAAGAGGAATTATACTTCTTTTTGTGGGCAGAGGCAGATGTACAATGAAGATAATTAGATTTAAGCTTTAGGTCTCATGACTTGTTTGGGTCGCTTCCAAGCCCCTATACCTAATACTGAATCCTTAAAATTGTGTTATTTCACTTAAAGAGCCCTCTCTTGGATTGTATGATTTTTAGAACCCACAGAATTGGATCTTCCTCTTTTTGTGTGACTCCAGAGAGGAAACCAGAACCTGATATAGAAATGGAATCTAGAATGAGGATGTTCCCTGGAAACTGCCAATTACTTCACTGCAAAAATTCGGGAATAGCAGAGAATTGCAGTTCAGGACAGGGAAGTTATGGCAAAACCATAGGCAAGTCCAGAAAACCAAAGAGAGGATGGCTCTTTTATACAGGAGAGTGGGAAGTTGAGACGGCTATTGAAGACAAAAGGTCCATTGAAGTAACCAGGGAGTTCCAAGGAGAGGGGCTTTTCATTGGTTGGGTTGTAACGGTCTCTCACTGGCTGGGGTGGAGAAAAACCTTTCTGCTTGACGCTGGGATTGTAAAGTAGTACCCAAACCAACATTCCCTTTCAAGATACATTTTTTCCTGCTGGGTCTGAGTGGAGCAGTGTGCGAGCGCCCCCTCCTGGCCCCTCCACTCCATTCTAAACAGTTTTCCTTTTGTTAACCTCTTGGCTCAGTAAAGGAAAATCTTTCCACAGGTTAGGAAGAGTCCACCAAAAAGTGGGTTATTGTGGTAAGCACCCACCCATAGTCATTCTTCCTTGCAACACCCCCTTTTCCTCTAATAAAACGTGGATTTGTTCAAGGAGTTAATGGAGATCCCAGATGGGAGAGCAGCCCTTTCCCCAAATGCCAAGAGTGAATTAGGATTGGTGTAAAGATATCATGGTGGTCCCTCACCCCGTGGTCTGTAAGTAGTCTAAGTCTGGGCAGCCAATCTAGTTCTGACTGATGACACAGGGGTGGTGAGACTTCATTCCCTGATTTAAAAGACAAGTCTTCATGAAGTTCTTTCCCCTTTCCCTTTCATTCATGAAACTCAGAAGGGTTGGATATACTGCAGCCCTTCTGTGGCCAGTAGGCTGGAAGCATGAAAACCAGACTCAACATGTGAAGGATGGCAGAACAGGAAGAGCAAAAGTGTTTAGGGTCCTTATAACATTGTTGAGGACCTGAACCAATATTAAGCAGCCAGAGGCAGCCATATCTCTCATTACTTATGTGAAAACCATTAAACTCCTTATTTAAATCCAGTTAATTGTATTGTGTGTTACTTGCAGCCAAATGCATTTTTACTGAATTCAGTTGTGTTCAAGGAGTGGAACTTCTCTCTCTGGTGGGAGCCAATTAGGGGACCAATTTGCCACAAAATAGGGATATTGCTGAGGGTATTTATGTCCTGAAGGGAGGATTTGGGGAGGGGACAAATTGTTATTCAGAATAATCTTACTCGATTAAAGCACAAACAACTTCCCATCACTTAAGTTCTTAGGTTCCATTCTTCTTTCCCAAGTTCATATTTCCTTCAGCCTCTAACCATCTTTCTCACCTATTTCTCTACCCTCATCCACAGCCTTACTCAATCCCCCAGCCTTGACAGGAGGTAGAGATAAGGATTCAGAAGAAGGGGACAAGAGGATACTTTCTTCAGACTGGTGGGACATGCAACAGTTTAGGACAATGAGGTAGGTTTATAGGTCTTGAAAGAAAATGCTATTGATCAGTAAACAGATAAATTACAATACAGCTTTCAAATGTGTAGATTCTGGGTAATAAATACTTGGAGGGAGACAGCCCTGATAGCTGAGGGGATGGCTCTTGAGACTGTAGTTTTCAGGAGCACCTGGGTGGCTCAGTCATTGGGCATTTGCCTTTGGCTCAGGTCATGATTTCAGGGTCCTGGAATTGAGCCCCGCATCGGGCTCTCTACTCCACAGGAAGCCTGCTTCTCCCTCTCCCATTTCCCCTGCTTATGTTTCCTCTCTCGCTGTGTTTCTCTGTCAAATAAATAAATAAAAATCTTTTAAAAATTTTTAAAAATTAAAAACTTTTTATTACACAAAAAATTTAAACCTATACATAAACTGGAATAGTTCAATGTACCTAGGTACCAAGCTTCAAACTATGGCGCTTTCTTGCTTCATCTATACATCCACGCTTCCCTCCCTCCTATATCACAATCATCACCATTGATTTTTTATTGAGATAAAGATGCAAAGATGACCCTCAACAATTCCTCCCATCCCTGTACTCCCATACTACCTCTCCCATGAGAGGAAATACAAATGTCCTACAATTAGATTGTAATGATGGTCTCACAGCTTTGTGAATATGCCAAACACCACTGAGGTGTACACTTCAAATGGGTGAATTGTATCATATGTGACATAGCTCAATGAAGTTATTTTTAAAAATAGAGAAAGAAAATGTATTGAAAAGGAAAAAAAAAGAGGTGGGATCTTATTCCCATCCCAGTTGAAACTGGCCTGGCCCTGTGACTTGCTTTGACCATAATAGGCAACAGAAGTGACACGGTGTGACTCCTGGGCATTTCCCTGAATAAGTTTCCAAGCCTGAGCCACCCCAATTACCCTCTTAGAGAAAGAGGCCCAGGCAGAACTCAGCTGTTCATTTCAGCCAGCCCAGCTGAGATGCCACAGAGATAAATGAGGAGGTTTTGGTATTGCCAACTCCCGTTGAGCTGCCCCAGCCAACACCTCGTGGAGCAGAGACCAGCTGTCCCCGCCAAGCCCAACGATTAGGTCTTGGGATGGTGGAGGCCTGGCTGTGCCAAGTCTCCAGAAGGGGCTGAGTATTTGCCTGTTCCCATCTCAGCCAGCAGGGACCTCATGAACTTTACACTCTCTGGCCTGCCACTGATTCTCCCGCTTCCTCAGACCTGCAGGCAGGCTCATAAGGCTCTTCACCTCACAGCTCTCTCCTCCCTGGCTTGTCACCTCCCAGGGCTCTATTTATCCACCTTTAGGCACGCTGGCTTTCCTTGAGCAGACCAAGCACCCACCCAACGGGGCCTTTGGAGTTAATAACCTCTACTCTTCCCTCAGGGGTCCACAAAACCATTCCTTTACCATCTTTTGATTTTCACTCAAAGGTCACCTTCTTTTTGAGGCCTTCCTCCTTACCTAGTTGGTATCTAAAATGACTACTTTCTTAGTCCCTATTTCTGTCCCGTGCTTTGATTTTTCTCTATCATTCGGCACTGCCTAACACAGTATCTTATTTTTCTAATCTATCTCATTTATTTTATGTCCCTCCTGCTCGCACTTAAGCTGCATGAGGGATTTTTGTCTGTCTTGATTATCTGGTGTATCTCCGGTGTCTAGAAAACAGCCTGGCCCATAATAGCTAATTTCACAAATTACCTGTAGAAAGAACGGATGAAATGTCCCCTGGTCACAAAGGATCTCCTTGACCATGCTATATTAAACAGAAATCTATTTCCCGTTCTTTTTTTTTCTTCATCATAGCACTATTTAATACGTATTTGTTACCGTCTTCCTCCCCACTACAATGAAAAAGTTCCTCTAACGACAGGGCACTAAAGATTTGCTTAATGAATTAATTTCTCGAACGAGTGAGTAAATGAATCTAGCATCGCCTGACGCTGGGCTCAGACAGGACTAAACTACCTTTGGGATGGGACTAATCTGGGGGCTCTCCGCGGGCTTGTACCCCCTCCCAAGGAGGAGTCTGATAGCCAGAGCTGGATTTCGGCTGCGTCCCTTTAAACCAGCCCGTGACGCCGGGCCTCTCGCAGTGGTGGCAGATTCAGCACGGCCTGCCATCGCCGGTTTAACGGGAGTCTCACCCAGCGGGGCGATTTCCGGGGCGGTGTCATTGCCCATTTAAGAGCAGAGAGCCCCGCCCTCGGAGGGCGGAGCCTAGAGGGGGCTTTAAGGGGCGGGCCGGCTGACGGCTGGGGTCCTTCAGAGGAGTAACGCAGGGTGGGCGCGCGCCTCAGGCCGCCATTTCTTGGCGTCTCCAGAGGAGCCGCCCCCTTTTCAGTCGCTCACCGGACTTTCACACTCGCGTTGCCGGCTATCCGCGCTGCCTTTGCCACAGCGCCTCGGTCCCCAGCCCAGGTAAGCGCGAGGCCCAGTGGCCCCGGCCGCACTGCCCGTATCGGGCTCGGTCCACACCCCGTTTCCCCTCACCGCTCCGCGGGCCCATTCTGGCTCGCGCCGAAGGTCTGTTCTCGCGGCCTCGCTTCGGGACGCTCCAGCCCCAGCTGCTTCCTTGGCTGACCGTCAAAATATTAAACCTGTTGGGAGGGGAGGGGCGGCGGCGGCCAATGGGGCCGGGCCGCAGAGTTTCGGGCGATACTGAGCGGCGCGGCCGGAGCAGAGGGCCGGGGGGGGAGGCGGGTTAATGTGTGCCGGCCCGACCCCTACCCGTCCCGGCCCCCTCCGGAGCAGCCGGGGGTCGCCCTTCTCTAAGAGGTCTCGACTTAGCTCTCCGGCTGGCGAGGGGGATGTGGCAGGTCAAAGGAAAAAACCCGCCGCGATTCGTGACACGATCTTAGAACAAAAACCCAGGTGGACATCTGGGGTTGGTTTGCGTAAGACTGCAAGTTCGGCCACTTGGAAATTGTGAGAGGCAGGTGGGTTACCAGCAATGGCGCGATCCAAAGGACCCTCCCCCGCCCCTCCCCTGACTCGGCGTGTTAGGGTTGGGGTTTTTCGGTGTGTAAACCATTAATTGTTCCTGTCACTATCTTTATGGACTAAGTCTCATGAATTTTAGCTAAGAGCGAGAAGACCCAAGTCTTTTAACCCCCCCTCCCTTTTTAAAAAAGATTTTACTTATTTGGAAGAGTGAGAGAGAGAGGAGCAGGGGGAGAGGCAGAGGGTGACGCTGACTCCCTGCTGAGCAGGGAGCTAGACGTGGGGGCTTGATTCTGGGACTCCAGGATCATGACCTGAGCCTAAGGCAGATGCCTCACCGACTGAGCCATTCAGGCGCCCCTCTTTTAAACCTTCTGACAACATTTTAAGTTAATATCAAGAGTATTTTGTTAAGAATTAGGGGAAAAATTACCTATAACTCCATTTCTGACATTGCTAAAACGAGCTGAACCCTACTTAACATAGTGAATTATTCGTACAGGTAAGCTAGTTTGCAGGTTTGTTTTCTTTTTATAGGGGAGCTTCATTAGAAAATGATATGTGGGGTGCCTGGGTGGCTCAGTGGGTTAAAGCCTCTGCCTTCGGCTCAGGTAATGATCCCAGGGTCCAGGGATCGAGCTCCACATGGGACTCTCTGCTCAGCGGGGAGCCTGCTTCCTTCTCTCTCTCTCTCTCTCTCTCTACCTGCCTCTCTGCCTAATTGTGATCTCTGTCAAATAAATAATAAAATCTTTAAAAAAAAAGAAATTCATATGTATTCTGTTGAATTACTGTCTTGCAGGCATTTTCTGTGTTGGGACTAGTGGGATTAAAGATATATCTATGGCAGTTGCTGTAAATTGGTATATTGCTTTATCAAAAAGCAAATGCCTACCAAAGAATGTGGCCACCAGTCACATTTGACAATATACACATTTCACGACGAACTTGAGTTTTAGATACATATTTAAAAACAATTTCAGTTAATTTAGGTAGTAAATGGATTGATTACTTCAGTTTGTATTTTTATGATTGTAATCACAGATTAAAATGCATTTTAAAAAAAACATGTAAATCTGCTTTTTGAGAATTCCACTGTATCATTTTAGTGTCAGACAAGTTCTTTATTGAGTGCCTAATATTCTGATTGTTGTGCTAGCTAGGTCATCTTGCTGACTGAGTCAGACCAGATCCTTGAGTCTTTAGTGGGGAAGTACTCAGTAAAAAAGATAATTAAGCAATTGGGTATTTAATTACAGTTTTGGTAAAAGTTATAAAGAAGAGTCTAAGGGTACTAAAAGGAGCACTTAATTTAGACTCCGGAGTCAGGGAATGCTTTTCTGAAGAAATGGGAGAGGTGAAGTAGAAAGAGAGCATTCCAGAAAGATGGAACAGCCAAAACAAAACAAAACAAAAAGGTCCACAGTTAAAAAGATCGTTGGATTGAGCAGCAGGGATACCAGGGCAGAGTGAACAGCTGGGAGGGGGCTGCCTGAAAGGTGAGGCAGGAGGAAGAGCTGGATCCAGAGCAAGACCATTAATGACTTTTTAACTGGGATCAGATTTGTGGTTGCTAAAAACCCACTGCTGTAGCATTTAGAATGAAAGTGGTAGTGGGGGATGGAGAAAGAATGAATATGGGAAAACTTTTCTTCTTTTAACAATTTTGTTTTTACGTAGGCTTCATGTCCATTGTGGAGCCCATCGCTGGGCTTAAACTCAGAACCCTGAGATCAAGACCTGAGCTGAAATCAAACAAGAGTCGGATACTCAACTGACTGAGCCATCCAGGTGTCACTTAACAATTTTTTAAGAACTCTTTTGAGTGGCACCTGACTGGTTCAGTTCTCTAAGCATTTGCCTTCGGCCCAGGTCATGATCCCCAGATCCTGGAGTCAGCCCCACATCCCGCTCCTTGATCAGTGGCGAGCCTGCTTCTCCCTCCCTCTCTGCCTGCAGCTTCCCCTGGTTCTGTGCTTGTTATCTCTCTCTCGCTCTCTCACTCTCTCTCTCTGTCAAAGAAAATCTTAAACAAAGAAAATAAACTCTTTTGACACAGTCATATATTCTTATTATAGAGGACTTCAGTACCTCCACATGACCCTCTCCAGAGATAACCTCACTTATTAACAGTTTGCATGTCTTAGTCCTTTTGTGAATATGTAGGTATCCCACCTTAGAGTGGAATAAAACTTACCGCTTTCCTCTGATTTCATTTTTCACTTAGAAATTTTGTCTAAGTCAGTTGTATTCAAAAAACAGCTGAGTTGTATAACATTAATTTGTTTAACTACAGCATGTTGATGGACATATTTAAAATTATGCCGTGAAAATCCATACTTCTACAATTTGGGTCACATCCTATTTCTTAGGATATCCTATCAGCAGTATAATTGCTGAGTGAAAGTGGGGGCATATTTTGATAGTGTGGTTAAATGCTCCGAAGAGGACAGTGTATGAAGGTGATTGTTTTTCCCATATCCTTTTCAACACTGGCTATCTTGAGTCTTAAATGACAGATAGTATCTCATTTTTTAGTTTAGATTTCGTTTGTTATTGTTGAGGTCAAATTTTTTTATACATATTTTCATTTCAGATCATCTTTTAGAACTGAGCTTGTTTCTTCATATCTTGCCCATTTTTTTCTGTTGCATTATCTTAATGGTTTGTGATAATTCTTCATTAAACTGAATATTAATCATTTAAATTTAGAAGCTCTTTAATATATTGTTTCCTTCTAGTACTTTATCATTTCTTTGATTTTAAATTCTTAGTCCATCTGGAATTTATTTTCATATAACTTCTTTTATATTTTGTAAAAATAAGTTGTTTGTGGCATTGGGTTTTATGGTTCAAAATACTAGATATTAAATCTTAAAGAAGCTTTGTTTTTCCTTAGCAGGTTAACTGTACTTGAATAATGAATTTTTGTTTTCAAGGTAGAAGATAAGGTGAAAGTCAGAAAACTTGTTTTATAGTTCATTTGCTTCCTAGAACTCACACAGTTATAGTGCATTTTGAACATTATTTTCCCTTAGAAAAACTTTTGTTGTTATTGTTGTTTTTCTGTTGTGTGTGTGTGTGTGTGTGTGTGTTTTAAAGATTTTATTTATTTATTTGACAGAGATCAAAAGTGGGCAGAGAGTGAGAGGGGGAAGCAGGCTCCCCACTGAGAGCAGAGAGTGTGATGCGGGGCTTGATCCCAGGACCCTGAGATCATGACCTGAGCCGAAGGCAGAGGCTTAACCTACTGACCCACCCAGATGCCCTGAAAACCTTTTATTTTGGAAAAATTCAAGTAGTCAGAAGAGTATAATGAGCCCCCATGTATCCATGATGCTGCAACAGTGGCCACTTATCTGGGCAATTTCTTCAGTTTCTATCCCCACTTTACTTTAATACCACTATTTTATATAAAAGAAAAATGGCAGCAATTCCTTGGTTATCATAAACAGTCCAGTCAGTGTTCAAATGTGTGCCTGCATAATTTATGTCCTTAGGAAGTTCAAATGACAACTATCATGGCTTTGCTAACTTACCTAGTTACATAGCAATATGCATACTTGTAAAATGAGGCTATAATCCTTAATTTATAGCAGTTGAATTTTTTTATTACATTGGTGTTATCCCAGTATTTCATCTTTTATTTTCTTCATGTTTATAAATGCATCAAATTTAAATTTTATTATTATTGTCTTTTTTTTTTCTTTTTCTTTTTTGATTGAAATAGAGAGAAAGAAAACAGGTGACCAGGGTGTCATGGGGAGAGAGAGCCTCCTAAGCAGGCTCCATGCCTAGAGCAGAGCTGATGCGGGTCTTAATCTCACCATCTCAAGATCATGACCTGAGCCAAAATCATGAGTTAGAAGCTTAACCAGTTGAGCCACCCAAGTACCCCACAAACGCATCTAGTTTAAAGTATCAACTGGTTATACAAGACTTCTTATAAATTATATGTGTAACAGCAAATGTGTGACTTTAAAAAAAAAGATTCTATTTATTTATTTGAGAGAGAGAAAGACAGCATGAGCAGGAGGGGCAGAGGGAGAGAGAGAGAATCCCAAACAGACTCTGTGCTGAGTACAGAGCGACACAGGGTTCAGTCCCAGGACCCCAAGATTGTGACCTGAGCTGAGACCAGTAGTCGGACACTCATCCCACTGCACCACCCGGGCACCCTAACAAATTTGTGACTTTAAAATTTCCTGTATTTTGAAATTAAATTAGACTTATGCGGAAGTTACAATAGTAGAGTTCCCATATACCTTTTTTTTTTTTTTTAAAGGTTTTATTTGAGACACAGAGAGCACAAGCAGGCAGAGCAGCAGGCAGAGAGAGAGAGAGAAGCAGGCTCCCCACCGAGCAGGGAGCCTGATGTGGGGCTTGATCCCAGGACCCCGGAATCATGACCCGAGCTGAAGGCAGCCCATCAACGGACAGAGCCACCCAGGCACCCCTCCCATTTATCTTTGACCTAGCTTTCCCTAATGATAACATCATACAACTTAAAAAAAAAAAAAAAAAAGGTTTATTTAAATTAGGATCTAATGTATGTGCATTGTGATTGATGGATTTGTATTTTAAGTCCTTTTTTTTTTTAAAAGATTTTATTTATATATTTGACAGAGATCACAAGTAGGCAGAGAGGCGGGCAGAGAGGGGGAAGCAGGCTCCCCGCTGAGCAGAGAGCCGGATTGGGGGGGCACCACCCCAGGACCGTGGGATCATGATCTGAGCCAAAGGCAGAGGCTCAACCCACTGAGCTACCCAGGCGCCCCTAGTCTGTTTTAATCAGTAGTTCTCTTTGCATTTCTTTTTTCCCCTTGCAATTTGTTTGTTGAATAAGCTGAAGTAAGTTTTAAAAAACCCAAATTTATCATGTATGTTTTTGCTTATATTTTCATTCAGACTCTTTTTATCTATGATCTTTGATGATTTCTTACCTTCTAAAATACAAGTTTTACATGAATTGTTCTGTGATGTAGTAGAAAGACCAAGAATTTGGAATCAGAAAAATCAGAGTTTGAGCCCCTGTCTTCATTATTTACTAAATAATGGATGTGGCCAGTGGTTTCATTTATTGGACCCTTAGTTTACTCATCAAAATAAGATAAAATTTTGGGAGTTTTTCTGAGACGCAAGTAAGATTATTTACTAACCATTTGTTGAACTTAATGAGATGTTCTGGGTGACTGGCTATTCAAAATAGGAATTATATCTTCAGGACTTTATAATAAATGAGACAGACATGTTAAAAAATAATTAAAATCTGATGAGTGATACAGTAAAATATTTTCATGTTTCAGTGGAAGTGTGATGATGGGAGTGACTAACTCTTTGGTTATCAGAGAATGTCTCTCAGGGGAGATATAGGTAGAATTGAATTAAAAAATGGGTAGGGAGTCTCTGACACATGGGCTTTCCACATCTGGGATAACAAGTACCTTTCTTAGGCAGCTGAAACAAGAATGGATAGCAAAGTGCAAAAGGAGCAATGTCTGAAGAGAAACCTGAAGAGGAAGAGACTCCAGCCAGATGTTATATATGAGTGCTTTGTTAATTGAAAACTTATCTAGTTTTATTTTCTTGGAATTTAAGTAGATGAACATACAAAGGACAAGTCTCATGGCTTTGCCAGTTTACTCAGTTATGAAGGACTATTCATATGTGTGATATGTGTATGATAATCTTCAGTTTATAGAGACTTGTTTTTTAATGTGCTTGTATTTACTTTTAAATTAGCTTTATTTTAATCAAGTTTATAAATGTATAAACTACATTTGAGTCACCTAACCTGAAGGCTTCTTTTTAAAAATAGCACTCTGCTGAGTTCTCTTCTGTCCTCAAGGAAAACACTTTCACATTTTAAGTAACATGCTTTTATTTCACTTCTTGATATTTGGTTTCAGGAATTATCTGTTGAATTCCAGCTTGGAAAGATGAGGAATTGGCTCTCTGCATCTCCTTGTTACATAGCTCTTCTTAGAGTTACTTTACAGTTATGCTTAGATCAATACTTAGTGTTTATAGTATTATGAATATTTAAACATTAGCTCTCATGTAGTATACTGTGATTACCTTCCCTTTTCTGCTCAACTTTTTGTTTTCTCTGGAGTTAATCATTGTCTTTAACTTATTTTTCTCATTCTCTTATTTGCATAAATTAAACATTAGATTAGCAAGATGATCTTTATGGTATTACCATTTGTGTTTGCTGTATTTTAAAAAAATTTTTTTTTAAAGATTTTATTTATTTATTTGACAGAGATCACAAGCAGGCAGAGAGGCAGGCAGAGAGAGAGGAGGAAGCAGGCTCCCTGCTGAGCAAAGAGCTGGAGGTGGGGCTCCATCCCAAGACCCTGGAATCATGACCTGAGCCGAAGGCAGAGGCCTTAACCCACTGAGCCACCCAGGCGCCCTGTCTTTGCTTTTAAAATTACTGACCAGGGGCACCGGGATGGCTCAGTTGGTTAAGTGTCTGCCTTCAGTTCAGGTTATGATCTTGAGGTCCTGGAATCGAGTGCCACATTGGGCTCCTGCTTAGTAGGAAGCCTGCTTCCCCCTCTTCCTCTGCCTGCTGTTCCTCCTGCTTATGTGCTCTCTCTCTCTGTCAAATAAATAAATAAAATCTTTAAAAAATTAAAAAACACTTACTAAACCTGTTTTATTTTGATTAAACTTAGCATTCTTAATAAAGTTAAGAAAAGTGGAGCCTGGGTGGCTCCGTGGGTTAAAGCCTCTGCCTTCAGCTCAGGTCATGATCCCAGGGTCCTGGGATCGAGCCCTGCATTGGGCTCTCTGCTCAGCGGGGAGCCTGCTTCCTCCTCTCTCTCTGCCTGCCTCTCTGCCTACTTGTGATCTCTGTCTATCAAATAAATAAATAAAATCCTTAAAAAAAAAAAAAGATAAGAAAAGTGGCCTTAAAATAATTTAACATTATAAAGAATTGACTATTAAATAATAATTTAAAATCTTTAAATAATAGACTTTAAATAATAGACTATTTAACAAAAATGTATTTGAATTATATTTGTATATTAGCTGAACGAGGTGATTATTTATTTGTTTTTTAAGATTATATTTTTAAGTAATCTCCACAACCTACAACCCTGAGATCAAGAGTTGAGTGTTTCATCCACTGAGTGAGGCAGGTGCCCGTTTTTGTGTTTTTATTGTGATTGCTCAGAAAAGAAATGGAACTTTTTAGAATTGTTAATGGTCATCAAAGGATACGTTAGTGTTGGATTGTCTCCTAATGTTTGTAGAGTTATATGGCAATTGTACATAAAATTCATTGACTCGGAAGACCTGATGAACTTCATAAATATTTGTTGTCTCCTGTCAGCTCCTTATAAAATAGACCAGTAAATTTAAAAATGCTGTAAGTCATAACTCTATTTTATATAAAAGTTTTCAAGAACTTGGAGGTAAGTAGCTAGTTTTAATTATGTTTTTCAAATTTACTTGCTGCTTTTAACAGTATGTTCGTAGTGGTCACAAGATTTTACTAAATAACATCGTTTGTCTGACTGTACATTGTGGGTAGTCAGCTAATACCTTTTTCTCTCTGGTTTTATTAGTGACAAAAATGCTGAGCTTCTTCCGTAGAACACTTGGGCGTCGGTCAATGCGTAAACATGCAGAAAAGGAACGACTCCGAGAAGCTCAACGAGCTGCCACACACATTCCTGCAGCTGGAGACTCTAAGTCTGTCATCACATGTCGGGTGTCTCTTCTGGATGGTACTGATGTTAGTGTGGACTTGCCGGTATGTAGGTTCTGCTGACCATTTGTAGATTCTATATGAGACCACTTTCTTCATTTGAACTTTCTCTTGGTAACTTCCTGGGGAAATTAGGTAATATGGGTTAGTGTGGATCAGGCAGTGTAACATTGAGGTACATGGATCAGGTAACCTTAGATACCTAGCATGATAATATTTTTCTGGGATTGTGGACGTTACTGAAATATTTAATGATAGTGGACGTTACTGAAATATTTAATGATAGGGCATTTATTGGCATAGATCATTTGTGAATTCTTTTTTTTTTTTTTTAAAGATTTTATTTATTTATTTGACAGACAGAGATCACAAGTAGGCAGAGAGGCAGGCAGAGAGAGAGGAGGAAGCAGGCTCCCCGCTGAGCAGAGAGCCTGATAAAGGGCTCGATCCCAGGATCCTGGGATCATGACCTGAGCTCAAAGCAGAGGCTTTAACCCACTGAGCCACCCAGGCGCCCCCATTTGTGAATTCTTTATGTGTGTTTTTTATGATGGCAATACATAGGGTACTCTAGTGGATTTCTCACCATCCTTGTTGAGCAGTTATTAAAACAATGAGAGTATTTGGGAATAATGATACATGTGTACTTTAAGACTTTTAATTCTCTATATTTTTCTCTAATTTTCAAAACACTTCTCACTTTTCCTCAAAACAAATGCTTCTTCAGCAGTTTGTTTTGCTTGCCTAAATTTTAAGGAAATAAAGTAAAAGAAATTCATACTTCTCAGCTCTGTTTATGTCTTTTCTCCCAAAGTAGTTTACAGAGGAGTTTTTTTATACACTGTCATCTTCATTTCAAGACAGGATGTTGTGATTTTATTAAAATTTTAGATGGTTTCTTTTTACAGTTATGAATGTATAAATTATAGCTCACGATGTGAAACAGTCTGATGTATTTGAAAGGGGTTAACTTAGGCATTTTTGAGGGGCAAGAGAGGTAACGGTATGGTTTGGAGGGCAGTTCAGTTTCTTTCTGAGGTATTTACTAACACAAATGTCTTTGTTCTGTGTCAAAAGATTTATTAATGGGGCACCTACGTGGCTAAGTCAGTTAAGCCTCTGACTTTTGGTTTCCGCTCAGGTTTCCTCTGGGTTGTGGGATCGAGCTCCACATCAGGCTCCGCACTCAGCGCAGGGGTCTGGTTTAGATTCTTTCTCCCTCCCTCTTCCTTCCTCTCTGCTCCTTCCCTTGTATACTTTTTCTCTCTCTCTCAAATAAATAAATCAAATCTTAAAAAAAATTTATGTAACTAAGCTATAAAATACATGATTTGATGTGTCACTGGATGTTCAGTCTTCCCTCCCTGCACATCCGCTTTAGTATACACCTTATATACCCAAAATACAATAAAAAATGTCTTTGTGCAAGGAGATAGCCTAAATGCTGCTACAGTATACAGTTGAATAAACTCTGAAAGACCTTTAACTTAACCTTTAACTGTGACCTTTAACTCACAGAGTGAGATTAAGGAATTAGTTTATTTAAATGAATATTCTGATTAATAGGATAATTTAGAATGTACTAGGTATATACCTTACACATTTAAAAAATAATGGAATATAAACATAAACAATGGAATGTGATAAAATTAAACACAAGATTTCTTGAAGTGTTTGAAGTCATCATCATGGGTATGTTTTATTATCTTTGTACATTAGACTGGACATCTTTAGGGTTTTTGAATCTGGAGGACTTGAAGGCATTTACATTTTCTTCCTATAAGGGCTTTTTGAGGGTTTGTCAAGCATTCCAATATGTGATATCTCTTTGAGGAGTTTTCATATTCATTTTTTTCTTGATAAGTATCTTAAGGGTTTTGTGTAATATTCTGTTAAAATACATTAGATATGTGATAAAAAGTTCGAGATTGCTGTGTGAGAAACTGGAAAGAAGTTTCTTATTACCTAATGTTTGAAGTATGAAGTCTTCTGGGTTGTGGATGGAGAGGCTAGGAAATACTAGGAAAGTAGACTTGGTAAAGGATCTTTTTAAAGAGGCAGTGTTTTGCGGAGAAGAAACAGCATGAGGTTGTAAGCAGTGGAACAAATGACTAGTGACTGCTATAGAGTGGTTTCCTATGCCTGATATGCTCAGTAGGGTGGATGGCCAGATATGTTAGCTGACCTCTCATGTAGACGGTTGTAGTGGAAAAAGCCGAGAGTTTTAAATTTGACTTTTTGTGGGAGTAGAGCAGTTGCCTTTTCAGCTCTACAGGTGAAATCCTAGAGTTAAGATCTAATTCTAGATGCTTGCGTGAGTTTAAAATGGGCATTGGCCTGCCAGCTAAACTGTTTTACTGAAAGAAAAAAAATAGACCAGAGGAATATTAATTTCTAAAAAGAAAGTTTTCCCTTTTTTTTTTAATTTACCTTCTCAGCCAGTCTAGTATGATTCCAAAAGAGGATTTAAAATTGATTTTGAAAATTGGATGAAGCAGATACTCCTTTTCCACTAGGATTAAGGTCACTAGTGATAATAACAAGCCATAGTGGAACTAAGATGATTGCCCAGGCAATATGTAAGTGATTATCAGTGATTAAATAGATAATTTAGATATACGACTTCAGATTAAAATATACCAATAGTAATGGTCGTTTTCCTCCTTCTGCTGTCTTCATCTCAAAACTGGGAGAGGAATTTAAGTACCTTCTACCTGGGCTCCCCCACCCCCTTTTTAAGGAACTAATTACAGTGAGAATGCCTAATGCCTTTCAGTGAATGATAAAAGCATCAGGTAGAAATTTCTAACTTTGAAATGGAAATGCCACAGAAACTTTGATTTATGAACTTAGTATTGTTTAGTAAATAGTCTGTCTTTTATCATTCTGCATCTCCCAAGTTTTAAATTAATAAAACATGATTAATCAATTGATAATAATTTAGTATATCTACTTTGCTGATATAGGCACTGAAGGCTTTAATTATATAGCCCTTGTGTAGTTAAACCTTTTTAGATAAATAACATTTATAGGTATCCTATGTTTATGAAAACTTAATATTGTTAAGATGCGGTGCACCCCAAATTGATCTATAGATTCAACATAATCACCTCCAGAATACTAGTTGATTTATTTGTAGAAATTGACAAGCTTACTTTAAAATTCATGTGGGATTGCAAGGGACTTATTATAGCCAAAATAATACTGAAAAAGAACAGAGTAGTAGGATTCACACTTAGTTTTAAGACTCAGTGTAAAGCAATGGTAATCAAGATGGTGTGCTACTGGCACAAGAATAGACGCATAGGGGTGCCTGGCTGGCTCAGTGGAGCATGTGACTCTTGATCTTAGGGTTGTGAGTTCAAGCCACACACTGGTTGTAGAGATTACTTAAAAATAAAATCTTAAAAAAAAAAGAATAGACACATAAATTACTGCAACAGAATAGAGAATCCAGATGTAAAGCCATACATCTGTGGTCAGTTGTTTCTTTGGGGGGGATGTTTCTTAAGATGTTTTTTAATGAATAATTATTTTTGAATTGAAGAAAAGTTGCTATAAAATAAAATTAACCATTTTATTATTTTTTTAAAGGTTTTATTTGTTAGAGAGCAAGCTAGAGAGCGCAGGATTGGTGGGGGGGTTGAGAAAAGGAGAGAGAAGCAGACTCCCTGCTGATCAGGGAGCCCGACATGGGGCTCCATCCCAGGGCCGGGCTTAATCTCAGGACCCTGGAATCATGACCTGAGCAGAAGACAGATGCTTCACTGACTGAGCAACCCAGGCACCCCATAAAATTAACTATTTTAAAGTTCAGTCTCAGTTGGAGCAGTGTGTGACTGTTGATCTTGGGATCATGAGTTCAAGTCTCATGATATATAAATATATAAATATATAAATAAAACTTTCCAAAAAGTGCATAATTCATTGGTGTTTAGTACAATCACTATGTTGTACAACCATCACCTCTGTTTAGTTCTAAGATATTTTTGTCATCCCAAATGGAAACTCTGTAACTCCCATTAGCCCCTGATAACTGATAGTTGGTTTTCTTTCTCTAAGGATTTGCCTGTTTTGGATGTTTTATATAAATGGAATATTATCCAATCTGTGACCTTTCTTTAACTTAGCCTAATATTTTTGAGGTTCATCTGTACTGTGACATTTATCAGTACTTAATTCTTTTTTATGTTGACTAATGCTCCATTGTATGATAAATCATATTTTGTTTATCCATTCATCAGTTGATGGATGTTGGGTTCTCTCCATCTTTTAGCAACTGTGAATAGTAATGCTGTGAATACTCATGTTCAAGTGTTTGTTGTAGTACCTGTTTTTAATTCTTTGGGATATGATACCTGAGGATGGAATTGCTGGGTCATATGATAGTTCCAGGTTTAATTTTTTCTGGAACTGTTTTCCATAGCAACTGTATCATTTTACATTCCCATCAGCAATGTAGGACAGTTCCAGGTTCTCTACATCCTCAACACTTGTTATTTTCCATTTTTTAAATTATAGTCATCCTAGTAGGTGTGAAGTGATACCTCATTTGTGGTTTTGATTTGTAGTTTCCTAATGATTACTGATGAGCATCTTCTTACATGTGTATTTGTTATTTGTACATCTTCTTTGGAAAATGTCTATAGTGTTCTTACCTGGTTTTTAAAGTTTTTTAAAAATTAAAAAATTTAATTGAAATATAGTTGACATACAGTATTTTTTAAAGATATTTATTTATTTAATGAAGATTATTTATTTGACAGAGATCACAAGTAGGCAGAGAAGCAGGCAGAGAGGGAGGAAGGGAAGCAGGCTCCCCACTGAACAGAGAGCCTGATGCAGGGCTTGATCCCAGGACCCTGGGATCATGACCTGAGCCGAAGGCAGAGGCTTTAACCCACTGAGCCACCCAGGTGCCCCAACATACAGTATTATATTGTGTATAACACAGTGTGGACAGTTACATACATATTATGAAATGCTCACCATGATAAGAAGTTACCATCTGTCACCGTACAGAGATGTTATTCTTTATATATGTT